CCTATGACATGGACTCGCAGGATGCCACAGGCTTGTCAAAATGCACAGAAAACACAAAGCTAGGAGGAAGAGCTATTGCTGGGTAAGTCAGCAGTCATTGTTTGGCATGATGAATCAAGAAAAATTTATTTCATATCAATGAATATAAAGTCCTTTTCAGACAAAAACTGAAAAAGAAAATGGGGAGAAAGACAGAAAGAAGAAAACTGCTGAAGAAAAGAAACAAAAAAGTCCTAAGATATCAGTTGATTATAAGTCCAATATAAAGTTCTAACATTATGGTATGACTAATAAGCAAAGAAATGTCAGAATATAGTAATAGATAAATCATGTCTAGGACCAGAGGAGAAACTAATCCCACTGTGGCCTGCCCTGAGCATGTAACGTCACAGCAGGAAAGAGCATATCCTGTTCTGAAGGAAAACGAAGAGTCTGGCAACCATACGGCATCCAAAGAGATGACCAGGGCAGCAGAAAGGCTCACTACTTGGGGCCATAAAGTAACTCCCTTTGAATATCTTAAAAAGCATAGAAGAGAAGACTGTCTTGTATTGTACTCAAGGATGAAATAAGAACCAGTAAGTGAAAAGTGCAAATTACCCACAAGCAGTAGGAGCAGAACTTGCTAAACATGAGGGCTGTGCCGCATGCGAGGCTCCTCAACTGGAGGTGCCCTGGCAAAGCCTGAATGATTTTCTGTAAGAACAAAAGGAGTTCCTGTTCTGGAGAGGAAGGTTGTACCAAATGATTAACATGCTGTTTTATAAATCTCTTCTCAAAGTCCATTGGATATAAAAGGCACAATACACAGCTACATTTGAGCTGAAATGGAGCTCCAGTAAGAAAATAGAAAAGATTATGCAACCTTCCAGATGCTCAGTGGGTTGAACCCCACGCATTCTCCACTGCTCTGGAAACTCTAGTAACACAACACAATAAAGGACAAAGGAGAAAAAAAGGAAACAACAGCCAACAACTTCATGAAAAGACAAAAAAAGGTTGGAGGGGTGGATAGGAAATAGAAGAAAGCCATTTTCCTTAAGAGAGCTTAACCAATGTGGCTCTCCTTAGGGCCTGCACAGGCCATCGCAATGAGTGGTGCAACAAATCCTCCAAGGTATATAGTTCTACGGTAGCAGAGATGATATATCTAAACCTTCAGGGGTGGGGGGCTCATAAAAACAGCACAAAAAAGGACACAACTCAGTATCAATTCTAGAAAACACTTTCAGACATGGAAGGTCTGACAGATCTATTCACACTTTCTCAGGAAGCTACTGGAGAATGTTCTTCACCAAAACATGACAATAATACATGAAATCAGAAATCCAAGTCACTGAGAGACAACTCCCAGAAGAAAGGTGAGGAGAAACACCAGCAGCCACGGAGAAGGTGAAGTGTAATCAGTACAGAGGACGGCATGAGGCAGAGGGTTTTGGAAAAAGTGACTCCAAGGAGTCACAGCTGACTGCCAGATGTATCTGACCACACTGAAAAGAATTTTGCAAATTTTGTCAGGGATTTAAAGAATAACCAAAATATACATACCCTTAATACTGACTTTATCTAAAAGTTATAGCTATGTTGGAAAATGAAGGGGGGAAGGAGCTATCCATCTAAGAACTAAAACCTCCTCTTCATAGTTAGAAGCCAAGTAGATTAGAAGCAGCTACATATAGGCAAATTATTTAGAAATGTGGAAATAAGATGAAGGTAGCAATCTCAAGTGAATAATTCGGAGATGAGAAAAAGGGAACAATTTATTATTTTTTGCTATAAACCTTGTGATATACCTCTGACTTTTTAGCCTCCATGAACAGCCTTCATGAAAGAACTATAGGCAGAATATTTTCAAAGACGTTGAGAAAAGGCAACCTAAAGTAGCATCTGATAGGACATGCTACAATTGACTGTGGTTGTGTACAGAACAGGAAAAGGCTTAGTTCAACAAACTTAGAAAACTTGTAAAAATTTAAGGAGTTTAAAGCTTACAGTTATTCTTTTATTTCGCCAGCAGGCATTTGGAGACTTTTAAATCCATCACGTTACTGAACCGGTAGCACCAACAGTAAACTTCATTCACTCATGGACTTAACCACCCTGGCTTGCACTGGTAAAGTTTTATTGTGATTTTTTTGAGCACAGGGCAAAGACTGAAATTTTTCAGAACAAGGAGAACGGTTGTGGATGACAATTACTGAACACTGGATAGCTGTGGAAATTTGCCTTAACTGAAGTCTCAGTGTTCTTGAATTCAACCTAAAATTACAAGGAAAACAGTGCTGACATGTGAATCATATACTACATTAATGTCATTTAAACAACTTTATTTGGTTGATAAGGAAGGTCAACCTGCTTCTTACACTTCCTGTAGATGAGATCTCCATTCCCATACAAATTTGCAGTGCACATGTTTTCTGAGCCGAAACATAGCATTTTACAGACCTTGATGTAAAGGCAAAGGAAATTTCCCTATTTCAAAATCCATTTAGTTGTGCAATTAAGGAGCTTTCGCCCAAACTAGACTCGGAAATTATTAATTTACTATGTAATAACGTGCTAAAAGGTAAGTCTCAAGAAAAGAATCCAAGAGAATTCTACATATGCCTTCCAAATAATGAATATACTCAACTGAAGTAATCTGCTTGGGGAATGACAGAGAATGTGGGAGTACCTACCTGTGTTAAAAGACATTTCCAAAGATGAAAAACATAAAACTTTGCTGCAGATCAGTATTAGCAGATTAGATGTATATCTGCAATAGATTTTCATGAGAGAGTAACTCTAAAGACCAATTAGGTGAAATATTATCGCCCTAGAAAAAGAATTCCAATCTTCTTATTAGTAGAGAGAGCTGTATTACAGAAAACTGAATTCAGTTATTACATTTTGAATCTCAACAATAACAAAACCTGTGAAAATTTGTCTCTTGGTATATAAACACCTTCAAAAAATCCTTGCCTCTTGGCCCACAAAACCTAAGATATTTCTTACCTTGCCCTTTGCAACAAATGCTTTGTTTGCCTGCCTCTGTTCCGAAGTGCCCTATGCCTGCAGTGCTGTTCCTCTCCAGGAACCCTTGGAACCACCCAGAATTGATTCCAGGACTCCTGGAGACTTCTGAGTAACTTCCTAAGAGAAGAGTTCCCTCTAGCGTGGGACAGCATGCTGATGAGCAGAGATGTGTAAAAGGAGGAGGAGGAGGAATAACTAAAGTTAAGAAATTGTTCCAGGAGCTGCCAAAGCTAAGACTCTCAACCAGCAAAGAAAAACAAAATAAACAACGGGGAGGGAGAGAGGGAGAAAGTCTCAAAAATATTATCCTGAGAAATGTCTCTGACATTTTAGCTCCTACCACCAAACAATTAATGATACCTGTATTTTGTTAAAAGCACCAAAGAAACAAAGAAGTTAAAGCTGCCTCCTCACAAAATACTTACAATGTAGTAAAAAGAGAAAAAAATAATTCTAAAATAATTTAATGAGATACTCTGAGAGTTCACAAAAGAGGGACCACAAAGGAGGTGAACAATCCAAGGTGGTTTGACAAAAAAGGGAGGAAGAAAGCTGAGCCCCAGAAGATGTGAATTCAAATACAAAGAACAATAATAAAATTCTACGAGGCTGGGCACAGAGGCTCACACCTGTAATACTAGCACTTGGGGAGGCTGAAGTGGGTGGATTACTTGCGGCCAGGAGTTTAAGATCAGCTTGGCCAATATGGTGAGATCCCATCTCTCCAAAAATACAAAAATCAGAAGGGCATGGTGGTGTGCACCTGTAATCCCAGCTACTCAGGAGGCTGAGACAGGAGAATCGCCTGACCCCAGGAGGTGGAGGCTGCAGTGAGCCAAGATCACACAACTACACTCCAGCCTGGGTGACAGAGTGAGAACCCATCTCAAAAAAAAAAAAAGAAAGAAAGAAAGAAACACTCTATGAGACAAGGAGCGACAAGGGGAATGAATACTTGCAGAGAATTCTCCACATGGGATTCATGCAGAAGAATGTGGACGTTGTGTACAAGAATCTAAATATCAGGGGCAAGAACTGGACCTCACTGTTTAAGTGCAAGGGGAACCTGCAAGGGTTGAGTAGGACTGTTCTTGAGGGTCTGGGGCTGAGGGGACATCATATGCAAAGCAGTATTTTAGATGCTGAGGAAACATCCACCTGGTGGTTAGAAGCAGAGACCCCTCACAGCAAAACAACCATAGGATCTCCCCAGGCAACAAAGCCTGACCTAGCTTTGCAGCAGCGAAAACAAAAAAGAAAAAGACAGTTGCAAGAGTCAAGAGTAGAACCAATATGCCCTGGTAAATAACCGTTCATTAGGATAAAAAGAAAGCCAAGTAAAACGTGACTTAATGTCTTAGAGCTAGCACTATTTCAGAAAGGTAGACCATTAAATGGTTTCTGTCTGCCTTTTAGAGATACAATGGGGACAAGTGAAATTTTATTAAGTATGTTTGCGTGTCCCCAAAAGGACCTACTCTGTCACTTCTGCCACTTCCTACTAAGTGCCAACTGAGCCAAAAGCCAAATATGCAAATTCCACCTCTAATCTTTAACAAACAGTTTTAAAGTGATGGAGATTTGGACTCAGAAAGAGACAGTGGCTGACCAGAAGCCAAACATCCTTTTGCTGGTTTAAAACAAAAATACACACAGAGAGCCCGGTAACCTGGAAGCAGCGGCCTGGGTTGCAAGTCTTTTTCTGCGTGCTACTACTTCAGCTTCCTAGGTCTGCCTGCTCTTTGGTGCCCCTCTCAATAACCCCTGCAAACTTAGAATCCTTTGAGTTCTGCAGATTTGAAGACAGACCAAAGCAGACTAAAGAGGCTGTTATTTAACTTCCTAAAAATCCCACAGTACCATATTGCACCTAGCCTCAGAGACTGATCTCCACTTGGTTTGCTAAGACTCCACGGTCTCATAATAGAACCACAGCTTTCCTTGATGTAATTAATTGAAGGAAACTCTTACTAACCATGTCTTACCTTTCAAACCAAGTTTAAAAATTAAAAGAAACGTTTTCTTCTTTGTGGCTCCTTGCCCATTACAGGTTATCCTGGTAACAATTTTCCTCCAAGTTACTGCATTAGTAGATTAGCAGAAATAATGTGGGATATGGATAAGAAGCAAGCTCTCCTGTAAAAGAAAAGAAAAAAAAAAAAAGCAGACAATCACATATGTTCTCTTTGGTATGATGACAGCTGCCATCAAAGCATGCTGGGTCAGGGTCTTGGGTCACAAAGAACTATATACCCCAAGGAATTTAAAAGTTCTACTTGATTAAAATTTTTCTATATGAACATAAGAAAAAAGGCACTGTCATCCCTCTCCTTCAGCTTTTATCCTAAACAGAAACACAGAAGTAAATATAGATGTCATAAAAGCACTATCAGTGAGTGAAGAAGAAAAATACATATTCTTACCTTTGTCTTCTGAAAACATCAATTCTATTCTTATATAACGTAGGGTCCACTATAAAGACACCATACTTTAAAATACTAAAATTTTCAAATTTCCTTCCTTTAAATGCCCCCAGCAGCCCACTTAATAGGTTTTATCAGGAAGCATGAGTAGAACGTTAAGTTCTAGCTATACTAAAATTTAGTCTCTTATGTCAATTAGCCAAATACTGCACATGAAAAGAATATAAATTATCTTCCAAGGCACGCAATTCATATATAGCTTAATACCGCAGAAAAAGATGTAAACTGTGGACACTGAACTAATAAAAAATCCTCTAAGTAGTGAAGCCTCACAGGGCCAAAAAATAAGGAGGGGGAAAAAAACGGCCGGGCACGGTGGCTCACGCCTGTAATCCCTGCACTTTGGGAGGCCAATGCGGGTGGATCACAAAGTCAGGAGATCGAGACCAGCCTGGCCAACATGGTGAAATGACATCTCTACTAACATAGAAAAAATTAGCTGGGCATCGTAGCAGGCACCTGTAGTCCCAGCTACTTGGGAGCCTGAGGCAGGAGAATAGCTTGGAACCCAGGCAGTGGAAGTTGCAGCGAGTCGAGATCGCACCACTGCACTCCAGCTTGGCAAAAGAGCTAGACTCCGTCTCACAACAACCAACAAACAGAAAACCTCCAAGGATGCAGTCTACAAGGCATCTCCAAAACAATGCTGTTCATCTAATGTCTTTCCCCCATAAAACCCACACTACATTGTGATCGCAACTCAATATTTTCCCTCAAGTAAGATAATAATACAAACAATGTTTAACATTTGTTAAATAAAATCAATCAACAAAAATAACAGTAACAAGCCTAGGGGCAAATCAAAACGAGCATATTTAACTTTGAAAATAAAATATTTTGGCCAGGTGCAGTGGCTAACACCTGTAATCCCAGCACTTTGGGAGGATGGTTGATCACATGGTAAAGAGATCAAGAGCATCCTGGCTGACATGGTGAAACCCCGTCTCTACTAAAAATACAAAAAATTAGCTGGGTGTGGTGGCTCGAGCCTGTACTCCCAGCTAGTCGGGAGGCTGAGGCAGGGGAATCACTTGAACCTGGGAGTTGGAGGTTGCAGTGAGCTGAGATCATGCCACTGCACTCCAATCTGGCAACAGAGCAAGACGCCATCTCAAACAAAACAAAACAAAAAATTTCCCAGTTAAGTAGTTTTTTAATATACACTGCAAAAAGTATGAATAATTATCTAAATTTTTGCTTAAAATGAGAACAGACCATGTGGCTGTGCTGCCGGAGTCCTGAGACACAACAGAAAGGTCCTCTATGGCAAATCCCCCTTCCCTCCAATTCAGAATCATGTATCACATCTAATGTCCTATTTCCTTACTGTCCTCTAATCTGAAACAGTTCAACGTTTTCTTCCCATTCATTTCACTGACATCTTTGAAGAATATGGCTTACGCCTTTCTCGCAGTAGTACTACATAATGAAGCTTTGTTTCTCCTGGACCATCACACAAAGAGACAAGATGATGTCAATTTGTCCCATTATTGGTGATAATTTCAATCACTTGGTTAAAATACTGTTTGCCAGATTTCTTCACTATAAAGGGAGCATTTTCCTTAATAATTCTCATTTGTAATCTGTAGGCGAATACTTAGAGACTATGTTCTCAGAACATTCATCCAACAGTTTTGTGCCAACTGGCAATTCTTGTCTGAATCAATTGATGCTGAGTTATGAAAATGAGGTTATTGTGGCTCTACTACAGCTCCTGGCATCAAACTTTAGTAAGGGACGCTGCCTTCTCCTCATTTATTCTTTCTTTATGTCATCAGTATGGACTCACAGATTCATATTTTATTAATTAACTTTCTTTCTTTTTTGTTTTTCGAAGACAGGGTCTCGCTCTGTCACCCAGGCTGGAGTGCAGTGATACAATCTCAGCTCACTGCAACCTCCGCCTCCTGGGCTCAAGTGATCCTCCTGCCTCAGCCTCCAGAGTAGCTGGGATTACAGGTACCCACCACCATGCCTAATGTTTGTATTTTTTGTAGCGATGGGATTTCACTATATTGGCCAGGCTGGTCTCAAACTCCTGACCTCAAGTGATCCATCTGCCTCGGCTTCCCAAAGTGCTGGGATTATAGGTGTGAGCAACTCCACCCAGCCAATTAACATCATTATTCATTCTGATGTTCAAATTGTCCCACATTTGGCCAGTGGGAGCCCCTTCTAGCATGCTCCTGTGTGCTTTTTGTAGTTTTCATGCACTTCCTTATTTCCTCATGTAACACGTTCTGGATTCATCTTATACATTCTGTTCTCAGCTTTGAAATTTGTCATTTTTCCAAGGAGTCTTGGTTCCTTTTAGTGGGGGATGTAATTCAGAAATGAAGGTCTGAGAGCAAAGTATGTTCATACATACTGGGGCTCTCATTTCCTCTGTCCTTTTACAGTGAACAAAGCTGGGAAGGAATGACAATTTCATATGCTCCAACTCTGTTGTGTATCCCTGACTTTTAAATATGAATGAAAATCAAGAATTACCAGACACCTCCAGAAAGCCTCTACCATAAAAAGTAGCAAAACAAATGCCAACAATAGTAGTAGAAAAATGCCAAGTCAGAGGAAAAAATAATCAGAAAACAGGAAAAAAACTGAAAGCCTAAAATGGAACATTTTAGCAACATTTTCCAACATCCAAGCAACAGGGTTCTAAAAAAAAAAAGGGGGGGGGGGGGAGAAGAAAAAAAAAGGAGGAAATCAGAGAAATAATTCCCAAAAACTTCCTGAAAATAGACCACACCAAGGAACATCACTGTTCAACTGCATGACTGGAACAGAGAAGAGCATAGGTCTTCTACGATCAAATATCTGAATAGTTTCAGATTTCTTGAAATAGTTTCAGAACAGAGAACAGAAAAGTGAAGTAACACCTCATAACCATTAGGATGGCTAGAGAAGAGCATAGGTCTTCTATGATCAAATATCTGAATAGTTTCAGATTTCCTGAATAGTTTCAGAACAGAAAAGTGAAGTAACATCTCACAACCATTAGGATGGCTACTGCAGGAGGAAAACAGGAAGTGTCAATGAGGATGTGGACAAACTGGAACCCTTGTGCACTATTGGTGGGAATGTGAAATGGCACAGCAGCTGTAAAAACCGTATGCTCACTCCTCAAAAATTAAAAATAGAATTACTATGTGATCCAGCAAATCCACTTCTGGTTCTACACTCAGAAGAACTGAAGGTAGGATCTCAAAAAGATATCTGTGTACCCATGTTCATGGCTGCATTAGTCACAACAGCTAAAACATGGAGGCAACCCCAGCGTCCATCAACAGATGAATGGGGAAGTGAAGTATAGCAGAGGTGGAGTATCCCCTGTCCAAAATGCTTAAGAACAGAAGTGTTTCAAGATTTCAATTTTTTTTTTGATTTTTGATATTTTCAAATACATAATAAGGTATTTTGGGATAGGGCTCAATTCTAAACATATAATCAGTTTTGTTTCAAGTATACTTTATACATATATCCTAAAGGTAATTTTACACAATATTTTAAATAAACTATGTATTGCATGTCTATATTTTGACTGTAACTAGTCACATGAGGTTACGTGTTGTATGAGGCCAGGTGTGAAATTTTCCACTTGTCGCGCTGAGTGGGCACTCAAAAAGTTTAAGATTTTGATGCATTTCAGAACTAGGGATTCTTAACCCGTATATGCATACAATGGAATATTATTTAGTCTTTAAAAGGATATTTTGATATAGGCTACAATGTGGATGAACCATAAAGACATGCCAAGTGAAATAAGCCAGTCATAAAAACGACAAAAATGTCTTTTGATAAAGGCAAAAGACTATATAATTCCACTTACTGGAGGTACTTAAAATAGACAAAATCAGAGATAAAAAGCAGAATAGGAGATGGATGGTGATGACTGCACAGTGTTACGAATGTACACTATTAAACCGTACACTTAAAATGGCTAAGACAGTAAATTTTGTTATATGTATTTTACAATAAAAAAATGATAATGAGGCAATGTCTACATAATTCTGAAGATATGTGTTCTGGCTGAAGGTCTGTGCCCGCCTCTCCCATTCATATGTTGAAGTCCTAACTCCCAGCACTTGGAGAAAGGAAGTAATTACAGTTAATGGGGTCATAAGGGTGGGGCCCTGATTCAACAGGATTAGTGTCCTTATGAGACACCACGTGTACAGGAACCCAAGGAAAGGACCTTTTGAGGGAGTTTGGGCAATAATCTCAAAAGACACGATCCTGAATACCACAATCCCGCATGTTGAATGTTCATCTGCAGTGGATTCTAATTATTGACCTGGATAACTTTGTGAACATTAGAATCCTGGACGTGTTTTGCAAACCCTTCTGAACTGGTGTGACTTTTCTTTCTCTTCTCTATGTTCTTCTCACTGTTTCAGGATCGTCCCCTCCAGCTCCTGGGTTTTTCCCAGCCATCTCCTGCGGTGCTGCACTGTGTCTGCCTTGTGGAGACCCTGAGGATGTCCTGGATGGAGTTACCAAGCCTCCGGCAGGCTGGTCCAGTTCCTGGCCCTCACAAAATATGTGTCCTTTTGCCTCAGGAGACCAGCTGCTCTGGAGAAGCTGCAGTCCCTGGCAGAGTTTGGCCCATTTTTCTACTTGTTTCACCAAATAGTGAGCCCCACCTGGCTCCAG